CCTAGCTCCCAGACCACTGGCAGCCAGGCTCTTCACCACCATCCAGGAAAAAGAGTAGAAGAGCCTTTTCTGAGGACTCTCCATGGCCCAAGAGGTAATGACATCAGAGTTTCTCCAAATAAAAGCCCCAGCCAGATCAACAGACAGTGACATTTCCAGTCAACAAGCCCACACACATCTTCAGCTTTTAACACCCCACTCAAATGTGAGCAGACAACAGAGGGTTTTAGAAATAGGAGGCAAATCTCTAACATGAATGATCCAGACATAAACTAATAAACAGACAAAAGCAACTTGGGGAAACAGAGTCTGTGATGTAAGGATTAAACTTTCCAAAAAAGTTTGTCCTCAGAGAGATAAGACAGATAAGCACTGAAACCATAAAACAAAAGCAAGAAATAGATATTGAAGGGGCCAAGAGCAGACCACCTCAAAATGCGTCACTTTGGCATGCTGATTATTTTAAATAAAAGTTACTGAAGAGACAGCCAATGCAAGAAGGACACTCACACCCTCCTCTGTCTCCTGAAAGCAGGAAATAAATCTCCCATGTGAAAGGTGCCCTCCCTGTACCAGGAGGTAAAAAGATATCCCTATGGCCAGAGATGGGAAATTTAGAGCCACGAAGGCTGTATAAACAACCCTTGTTACTTTTTACTCGTTTACTACTATAGCCCAAATTCTGTTTAGAATTCTTTACTAATTGAAGTTCCCAAAATGTTCTTTGTTCTGTCAATTCTTCACAGAGTTATTGTTTCTTTGTCTTAAAAAATATAAAAACTGCCTGCTTTAGTCATTTCTTTAGGTCTCAATTTCATAATTGAGCCTCTGTGCACTTGGAATAAAACTGTTTTTCCCCTGTTAATCTGTCTCATTTAAATTTAATTCTTAGTCCAGCTAGAAGATCTTGAGGGCAGAGGAGAATTTTTCCCTTCCTTCAATATACCACACACATACACACATTCAGAAAGCAAAAAGAGCTTTTAATTTAAAATAATTAGAAATGTGATTATACTTATTAAAAACTCAATGGAAGGGCTAGATGATAAAATTGAGAAAATCTCCCCAAAAGCAGAACCTAGAAATAGAGACATAGAAATTAGGAGAGAAAATATAAGAAAATTAGGGGCTCAATATCTAATATATGAACAATAAGAGTTTCTGAAAGAAACATCACAGGGTGCCTGGGTGGCTCAGTTTGTTAAGCAGCTGACTTCAGCTCAGGTCATGATCCCGGGGTCCTGGGATAGTCCTGCATTACATCAAGCTTCCTGCTCAGCAAGGAGGCTTGCTTCTCCCTCTGCCTCTGCCTCTCCCCTCTGCCCCTCCCCCCGCTCGTGCTCTTTCTCTCTCGCTCTCTCTCAAATAAATAAATAAAATCTTTAAAAAAAGAAAGAAAGAAACATCACAGAAAATGAAGAGGAGGAAATTATCAATGAGTCAATTCAAAAAAATTTCCCAAACTGAGGGATATAAGTTTCAGGATTCAAAGAACCCAGCACAATGGATGAAAGCAGATCCATACCAAGGTGCAGCAACATGAAATTTCAGGATCATGGAAACCAAGAGAAAATTCTATATACTTCCATAAAGGACTCAGCAGGCTTGTAAACTGTACATAAATTACAGGCAAAATTTGAGGAATCAGAACAGTTCTGAATTTCTTAACAGCAACACCACAGCCTAGAAGACAATGAATCAATGCCTTTAAAATTTCCATCCTAAAATTCTAAACAGTCAATTGTCGGTGGAAAACAACTATTTCCAGGCATTCACTGCCTCAAAAAAATGCATATCCCATGCATCTTTTTCCAAAAAGCTCCTTGAAGATTGTTCTACCAAAACAAGGGAGTTCACCAAGATAGAGGAAGACGTGTGATTAATAAGAGCTCCAATACAGGAGAGAAATGATGGGGATCCCCAGGATGATGATGAAGGTCTTCAGGGTGACAACTGGTCTCCATGTGTAGAGGGCAACTGGTCCAGATTAGGGCAAGGCAGGAGACTCAAGGACAACTTCTTCAGGAAAATGAAACTGACAATACCCCATGCATTTGAGGCAAGTTTTAGAAATCTGGCCAAGAGTTTTGGGTCAAATTAATGATGAGGACATACAAAACTAAATAAATGAACAAACAACTACTAACGCCAAAGAAAACAAAAAGCTGTGCTTGGCTTAGCTCTGCATATTGATCTAACCAAAATTACTATGTAACTACTGCAAGGATGGGAAAATAAGGAAGCTGTGGTCAAGATGGGGGTGAGAGAAATAAAGGGAGCCACGTCACCATCTTCCACAGTGGGCAGTCAATAGATAATGCTTCAAACTGCAAAATTCAAGAAGTAGCAACTATAAGCAACAAATACCAAAATAAGCAGCTCAAAGAATTACAAATGGTTGTTTCTGGAGAGAGAGATATGTAATTTAGATTAAAAGTTTAAAAATTAAAAAAAAACAAAAACAAAAAATGCATGTTGACTTCTATGCCCATGCATTTTTACATTTATTTGCTTTTGCTTTGTGTCCCCAATAACAATTTGGCAAAATTCCATCCTTGTTTTTCCCAAACAAAAGAAAATGTAATTTTCTACATCTAGTCCACAGCAGCTATGGCCATATGAGCTCTGAGCAGCCAAACGTGGTGGGAAAGGTAATAGTTATAACCCAACCCAAGGAAGGACTGGTTGAGCTAGGGCAGAAACAAAAAGGTTGAGACAACTACTAAGCCCCTCTCTTCTGGGATTCTTTTCAACAAAGCTATCCTCCTGGCATAATCACATGGTACAGGATAATCTTACAGTTGCCAACAACCATGAGCCAATTTCACTCCTTTCTAACAGACCCAAATGTCCCTCTTTATGACACTAATCTAACCAAGATCTGAGTTCAACTTCACTCCTCTTTACCTCTGTAGACTGAATAGCAAGAGAGAATAAGGGCTCTGACGCAAGTGGCCCTGTCCTCAACAGATATTTACTAAGCATCCATGGGGGACCCAGCACTAGGCTGAGGGTCAACACCCCTGTGCCAACTACGTGGACCTAGCCTGTCCTGAACAATAAGTTGATTCTCCCTAAGGATGAGAATCCAGGGAGGGGTGGAGTCGGGGTAGAAGCCACAAAACTGGAAGAGCTGGGGCAGGGAGAGAAGGCACCAACTGGGCCAACCTGGAGGAACCTGTAAGCAGAGGTGTGATTGGAGGCCCAAGGCTCAGGCTCCTACCACTCTGGATATGTAGAGGAATGCAGGGAGACCAACAATTCTTCCCCAAGCATAAAAGTAGCCAGACACTGCCCACAACCCTTCCAACCACCCTGTCAAGTGTCAACTTTACAGAGCAAAGGTTACCATTCTCTGAGCTTTACCACGGTTGGATAAAATATTGCCCCTGCCCTTGAGTGAGTAGCTGCTGAGAAAACATGATGACTGTCTTAGTATACAGAATAAGTAAAGCAGGTTGAAAGTGCTAGAGCACACATTAATATTCTATATTCTTTTCTATTTGGGAAGATGTGAGAATTTTAGTTCAAGGACCTGTGTGGAGCAAAGGTTTTGCCTACTAGAGTACCGCACTGATTTGCATGTGTCTACAACACTTGCCCTATACAGTTCCAAAAACCAAAACATATACACCCTTGTGGGAAGAATCAAACTCATTAACATAAATACATTGCAGTAAGCAACATGAATTGGCAAGAGTAGTACTACATTGATCAGATTAATTCAGGGAAAGTAGAGGTCTATCCTAAACACTGAAAATGTAACTGAACTAAAAAATACTTTCCAAAGCAAAATAAGAAAATTACAACATACTTTCCTTTCTCCATATAAATCATGATATTCCATATACTACATGTGATTCTTGCTGACTGAGCTACCAGTATCACAAACCAACCTGTTAAATCCTAAACTTAATTGGGAAAACCACTGGTTTGTTGAAGTTGTTTCTTCCTCCTCAGCTCTTTAGGGGAGAATCATCTCAAAGAGGGTAAATTCTTGGAATTTCCTAAAAGGAAAATGGGCACTCACTGGAAAAATACAGGGTATATGCTCAAAACACTTGAGTATTTTGGATAACCTTCAAACCCACTTAGCCACCGGCCCATCCTGTTGTTCCCAACCCTTCTAATCAAGTATTCCAGTTTCCAAAGAATGGCAATAGATGAGACTGTTTCCGAACCTGGTACACAGAAATGTATTATTATTCTTCCATTGGGGGGAAAAGATCAAAAGCAAATTTAGGATCCAAGGAAAAGTGCACACACCGGATCAAGGTCTAGTTTTTCTAATACATGTATTCACCGAACCTCTGTTTTCAAGATTCAGACTATTTCCCAGATTTAAAAAAAAAAAAAAAATGTGAAGTTGGTGGGGTGAGGCACTCGGACACGTATAACTGTGGAATGTCTCTGTCGATTGTGCCAACTTTCAATCGAGCCTGCGCTGCCGCCCAATCAGACTGGCGGAACCAACCTGGCCGCACCGCTGGGAAGTGAACGCAACGCTGAGCCTGGCGCGGGGCGGCTTCAGCCCCGGGACCCAAAGGGAAAGGAGGCGGGTGCTCCTCGGGAGAGGCCAGCGCCTGAACTCGAGAGGCGGAGAGGCGGCGGCAGCCGGGAAGCCGCAGCTACGCGGGAGCGCTCACCTGTCCCTTCTTCCTGGACCGGAATGGACCGGGTCCCTCACCTGCCGTCGCGCGCCCGCGCTCACCGCGCCGCGTTGGGGAGAAAATCTTCCTCATTCCAGGAGGGTCTGTCTCTGGGCTTGCGAGAGCCACCTCTCGCCTTGCGCCGTCCTGACCCTTTCCTGCCCGGATTCCCGCAGTCCCGGGGCCGCCCCTGCCGACCCGCGGCATCCTTACCTGGCTGGAGCGCGCAGGGTGCGCGGAGCCGCGGACAGTGTGAAGTCCCGCGGGCACCGCCGAGTTGGAAGCCTGGAGCCCGCAGGCCCCGCCCCCGGCCGCCCCGGCCCGCCCCGCCCCACTCGCTCCGCCCCCGCTCGCTTCTGCCCGCAGCAACCCGTTCCCACGAGCGCTGCCGTGGGGGTTGCACGCGCGTCCCGGCTGCCGCCACCCAGCTGGAGTTTCAGGTAAGTCGCAGGAGCGTCCCTTGGGTTCCCGAACGCGGGGCTGGGACTCCCTAGGCCCAGGCTTCCTACCCCAGGAGAACCGCCCCGCGAGGTCTGGGACATCCCTGGGCCGGGAGAACCCCGAGCAGTGCCACCTGTGGGTGACTGGGCACTCTGTCGGAATTAGGGGCCGCACCTCCCCTTCCGCTGAGCGGTGGCGGGTCAGGCGGGATGACACGGTGCAGTGGAGCGAAACAAGAGTTTTATGAAAAGAGTAAGTCTTTTTCTGTCAAACCTGAGGCATCGGAGCATATCTGGTACACTTACAGGGTCACGTGCATTCGCTATTAATGTATTAACACTTCACTCACGGAAGAGTAGAAAACAGCACTTGTGTAAGACTTACTATGTGCCAGGCACTGTTTCGGAACTTTACAGGTGTTAACATTTATACAAAGTATACGTTATATCAGAAACCCCCATTTTACCTGTGGTGAAAGTGAGGCACAGAGAAGTTAAATAACCAATCTAACTAATGTCACCCGACTTAGTGAATTGAAAAGCTGGGATTTCAATCCAGGTAGTCCTCCCCTGGAGTCGGTCGGCCCTCTAAGCCACTGCTATCCTGACTCACCAGAATCTGCGTGTCCACCGTGTGCGGTGAACTCTTTACAGGCCTGGGGAAAACAAGACAAGGGCTCTGGCCTCAAAGAGCTTTTATTCTAGTCTGGGGAGAAAGACAGTAAGCAAGTACAAAATGAAACCACTGCACGTGTGAGAAGTGTCTGGACTATAAGAAAGCAGCATGGTGGCTTTGAGTGTGATGGGGGGAGGGAGGCTGCTTTACACCGAGGGATCCTGGACACTTCTCTGAGAAGGTGACAGTGGAGCTTGAGCACTTAATGAGAGGACAACCTGAAGATGAAGCTAAGGGAATGGCAAGTCCATTAATAATTATTATAGTTCATGCTTGTTCGGGACTTTACAACATACATTATCTCTCCTTTGACCATGCAGTAACCCTGAGAAGTCTGACAAGGTTCCATTTTACAGAGGCGGGGCGGACCCTAAGGGTTGGGAAGTCTAATGACTTGCCTAAGTCATTAGGTAGGAAAAGGGGGGGATGGTGGATGGGAAGATGGCACAGAATTGAACCAAGGCCTTCTGATGCCAGATCTTCTCACACTCTGTTGGGGGGGCCTTGAGGATAATGACCCGTACTCAAAATGAATCTAGTAAAATTCTCTTTTGTCATCTACTGTCTCTTCCCGGCCCCCATCTCTCCTTGCCTCTTATCCCATTCAGAAACTACTGTTGACCGGTTGACATGATTTCCCTCAGGGCAGGTGTTCTTTGAGGGAGCAGAAGTGAAATTATATGCCAAAAAAAAAAGTGTGTGTATGTAGAAAGTTATAATTATTTATTGTGGTAATAAAGTTGGTTTTCTCCCAAGAAAAACGCTCATCACTGGGTGTTATACGCAAACAATGAATCATGGAACACCACATCAAAAACTAATGATGCAATGTATAGTGATTAACATAACATAATAAAATAAAATTAATCAAAAAAAAGAAAAATGCTCATATACATAAGTGAGAGGACTTAACACTTCCATCAAATCGGCTGATTCCAAAAAGGTAGGAGAGCCACTGTCTTAAAGGGTTAACTGATACTATGGTGGTTAAAAGAACCGATTTCCAATTCACTTTGCCTGTGCTTGTTGGGTGACTCTGGTGGCTCCAATTTCTAGCTTAATGGAAATGAGGTTCTCAAAGTTGATGAAGTCTGACTGAAAAGGCGGCAAACCCAAACCCTCATATTACCCCTTTGTAAAGTTTTAAAACTAAAAGAGAGGAAAATATCTATATTATCCCTCTTAGTTCTCAAGAAAACCAGAGAGAACTGATCTGTAAACAAAATACCTAGATAACAGAATTCATTATCAGTGATAATTGAGGTAGTTTCCATAATGTTATACTGTGTCCTAAAGAAGACATTCATTACGTTATCAATGTAGGTAGGTGGTTGCTGCAGGTGTATCATCCCCAAAGCATGTAGCATAGAGTACTGGCAATTGTTTTCAGCAGAGTGTTGATAAGAAGAGGGACAGAGATAAAGATAGCAAGAGAGACTTTTTTATAGAACTTCAGCTACACAGATGAAAAGGTGTAAAACTGAACTCAGGATGTGGTGGTCTAAAAAAAACCATTTAATCTTTATTATTTCTTATGTGAAAAGTTCAGTATCTTTAATAGAAAACAGAATACAGTTTAGGCCTATATAACTCAGTTTTTACACTGGGTCCTCATCAAAAGAAGGAATGTGGTCATGCTCGACTTAAAACGATTTCTCCTTCTGCCTTCAAAGAGAAAATTTCAACTATATTATTACTGTCTTCTTTATTTTAAAATAATATTGAGGCACAGGAAAAAAGGCATTTATGTAGACTTCTCGGAGACAGGGACTCCCTTCTTACAAGATATCCCCATGGCTTCTATAAAATTCGTATGTTTAGATGGGCAGTATCAGGTTGACATAACGCTAGTTCCTTGAGAGAAGAAAATGCTTCTTTTTAACTTGCACATAGATCCCACATTGTGCATTAAAAGACACACGGAATCAACATGGGAGGTTTATAAATAAAATGATGTTTGTATTTAGAGCTCATCACACTTTTTTTTTTAATCTCTGGCTTTCTTTTATAACTCCCTTCCTACTCAAAAAAGACCTGACCCATCCTGCCTGAATACTACATGTTTGTTCAATGAATGAATGATGACAGTGATGAAAATAGTATAGACCTTATCAGTCTTTTATCAACAGTCTGTTCCTAAGAGAAAATGACTTCACTGTGGTGGTATGATATATCTGCTTCTCTTTCCATCACGTACTGAAAGTAGTTGCTTCTTTGGAACTACACAGAAGGAAAGAAAGAGGTTTTTTGTTTATTTGCTTTTTTAAAGTATGCACCACATCCATAATGGGGCTTGAACTCACAACCCTGAAATCAAAAGTTGTACACTCTACCCACTGAGCCAGCCAGGCGCCCCCTGTAGGAAGGACTTTTAAATGTTGGACATAAAATCAAGAATTATATTCCAGGAACAGTTGCTAAATAAATCATTCAAAAGAAAGAAAAAGCATCAGATATAAAGTATGTTTATAAGATCATCACTAATAATAATATAATAATCAAATGCTCAATAACAAGGAAATATTTAAGCAAAACTTATCAATAGCATGGAATGTCAGGCTGTCACTAAAAATAATATATAGGTTAATAAAATAGGAATGTAGAGAAAAACATGAACATTGAGTGAAAAAAGTAGAACACAATGCTTTATGTATCCTGTGATTGCAACTGAATATAAATCGTGTGGGAAGAAAATTGTTGGGTTGAAAATAAGAATAGTGATTAGTAGTTATTGAGGGGGTTGCTATGTACCAGCCTCTGTTTCCAGTACATTAGTTTAATTCATCTAATTTTCACAACAGCTGTGTGAGGAAGGTACAGTTGTTATTTTTGTTTTACTAATAAGGAAACTGAAACCGAGAAGATCTGAGTAATTTGCCCAAAGTCACACTGTTAGTGAGTGGCAAAGCTAGGATGTAAATATAAAGCAGTATGACTCTAGAGTTTGCACATTTACCAACTCAAATCTGGCAGAGAAAATCATGTTTGAATCGTAGATCATGGGTTTTGTTGTGTGTTTATTTTTTTTTAAGATTTTTTTTTTTTTTAAAGATTTTATTTATTTATTTGACAGAGAGAGACACAGTGAGGGAGGGAACACAAGTAGGGGGAGCGGGGGAGGGAGAAGCAGGCTTCTGGCTGAGCAGGGAGCCCGATGCGGGGCTCGATCCCAGGACCCTGGGACCATGACCTGAGCCAAAGGCAGATGCTTAACGACTGAGCCACCCAGGCGCCCCAAGATTTATTTATTTATTTTAGAGAGCATGCCTGCCTGCCCTCTTTCTTTGCCCCATGAGGAGGAGGAGGGGCAGAGGAAGAGAGAGAAAATCTCAAGCCAACTCCTTGTTGAGCGCAGAGCCTGATGCAGGGCTTGCTCTCAGGACCCTGAGATCATGACCTGAGCCCAAATCAACAGACAGTTAACCAACTGAGCCACCCAGGTGCCCCGTGTTTTGTTTTGTTTTTTAATATCTCCTTGTATAATGTTTTTATGTTGATTTAATAGTAATCAAAAACTTTTTAAATTGCAAAAGTCAGAAAAGAAGGCACAGAGGTAAAACCAGATTACACTCAGAAGAGAGAGATACAAAGGTGAGAAACCTACTGAGTGAAACCCTCTGGGTTTGACCAGTTTACGTTTTGGATTAGGATATAAATAGTGTTTCAAATGAGTGCAATATATCAACAACTTGATAGTTTATGAGAATTGAGATAAAATGAGGTATGTCACAACAGATGTTATATTCATTATTATTACTATGAATAAAAAGTATATTCTGGCCTGATGTTGTACTTGTACTTGCTGTTCCTTCTGCCTAGGATGCTCTACACCCAGGACTTTTTGAAGCTGCCTTTTCAACAGTGACAGTCATGAAAATGTGACCATCACTGCATTAGCAGAAAACCGAAAACACTGATGAACAATCCTGAAAAAAAATCCCCATTATGGTGGAGCTTACCTTCTAGTGAAAAGGTTAGTCATTTAAAATCTGATTTAGGGCGCCTGGGTGGCTCAGTTGGTTGGGAGACTGCCTTCAGCTC